ATGCAAGGATGTGTATACTCTGGTAAATGAAAAGTACTGCATTAGGTTGCAGCTTTAGGGTCTAATTTAAAAAATATAATTCATATCCAAGCAGAAGCCTTTAAAATATTGGCAGATGTCTTTATACTGTTATTTTATTCAAAGGACAAAGTGGATTAAAGATAACCATAATCCAAATAATGGCACTGCTTCATTATTTTCACTTCTGTTTTATTTCCTCTAAAGAAATTTAATTTGGAAAAAGTATTTCGGGAACGTCCTCTTAAATATAGAAATAGAAAAGGATTTCTGCCCAGATAGACAAACAGCTTCAGAGCAAGAGGAATAGGTCCCTGTTGGTCTCATCCAGCCAAGGCGAATAGGCTTATCTGGAAAAAGAAAAAGAAGGGAAACTTACTTAATCAGAAACTTTCAAGGTATTCCCGATCCCCGCCTTTTTCAATTAATTCTCTACTCAGACATGTTTGACTTTTATTGGAGCCTCCTGCTGAAGAATAGAAAATCTGTTCCTGCTTCTATTCCGTTTCTTAATTCATCCCCAGAAGATAGTCAAACTGGTAATATATATACATATTTTTTAAAAAATCTCATGCTGCATTGAATTCAACCCAAGTCACTTAAAAAAAAAAAAAAACTCGTGAAGGCAAAGGCTTATTTTCTGTGGAAGCCAAGCTCCTGGTTTTCTTTAGCCCTGTCCATCTTTGAGTTGAAAGGCCACTGGATGGAGTATTGTCTTCTCTATGTACTTAATAGATACAGCTCAGTCTTTCTGCCATCCTGCAGTTCCCCTTCTTCCTTTGCTTTGTGTAGGCATTTTTTTTTTTAACTGACTCTCTTTCCTAAAATCTACTTGCACGCTTCATCTATCTTTTCCTAAAATCTATATAGCCTAGCTCCTTATATTTATTTATTTATTAACATCCCACCTTTTTATTGCTTATAAATAACTCAAGGCAGCAAACACACACAATATTCCTTCCTCTTCCTATTTTCCCCCACAACAAACCTGTAAGCTGGGTCAGGCTGAGAGAGCGGCTGGCCAGCTTTCATGCCTAAGGTGGGACTAGAACTCACAGTCTCCTGGTGATTGAACCAAAGTCACCCAGCCAGTTTTCATGCCTAAAGTGGGACTAGAACACATAATCTCCTTGGTAACTGGTCCAAAATCACTCAGCCGGCTTTTATGCCTAAACCAGGATTAGAATTCACTGTCTCCTGACTTCTAGCCTAGTAACTTCACCACTACACCAAACTGGCTCTCATCTTTTATATTCTATGCTGTCACTTACAGGTGCCCACTTGGTGCTCTGTCCCCTTATTGGCAGTCATTTTTCCCAATATGAATCTTTCCACACTTTGATTAAGATCACCACGTGGGTCCTGGTCACACACATCAAGAGATACGTTGACCAAGGAAGATACAGAAGAGATGCAGAGTAGACCCCTTCTTTGTAGGATATCTTGGCAAGATCTCTGCATCTGGTACCTCTGCTTTGAAATAAATACTTTTTTTTACAATTTTGCCAATTTTATATTCACTGAAGAGTTATAGAACTGTAATTTATGCGAGCAGAGGGGTTTATATGGATTCCAAGATCTGGCTGAAGGAGGCACAGCCACAGAGCCTTCTGGTGCCCCACTGCCTGATTTTGTTCACTTAAAAAAAGTAAGAAGCAAATTTAGGCATTTTTTTTTCAGAATAATCAATGGTTGCATCTTTAGGTGCTAAGCACCCAAAATGTGATTGTGTGAACAGATGTACTTTGAGAACAGGTCATAATTATTTTTTTTTCCAAATCCATCATAACTTCTCAAAAATCATTAAGCGACTGGTCATAAGTTGAGGATTGCCACAATTATACTACTACTACTACTACTACTACTACTACTACTACTACTACTACTACTACTACTGCTGCTGCTTCTTCTTCTTCTTCTTCTTCTTCTTCTTCTTCTTCTTCTTCTTCTTCTTCTTCTTCTTCTTCTTCTTCTTCTTCATGTATTCTGCCCTTTTAAAAGGCACTTTATGTTGGTTTCTTGTTAGCATCACAATAAAGAAAGGCTTTGAATTAACATGACTAAATTGCTACAGGAGGTTCATTTTTCTGTAGAAATACTTGTGTCTTTGAAGATTTTGACAGAAGATCTATCATCTTGGTTGCTGGTGGCTTTGTTGGTTATTTTTTTAATTTATTTTGGGCAGGTATTGTTTTTCCATACTACATAAACATAAACAAGGAAATCACCTTGATATGTTTTTAGGCTTTTCTGTATTTTCAGATATAATTTAAACTATAACTAAAAATATAAATCAAATGACCAGAATTGCTATACAATAACCATCAGTAACACACTACGCCGCCAGGGACTCAGATCCTGCAGTGCCAGATGTGTCCCTCTGCTTAAGCCAGTACATGTCTGGGCCCGTCTGAAGTTTGCTAGAGAGCATTTGGATGATCCAGAAGAGGATTGGGAGAATGTCATATGGTCAGATGAAACCAAAGTAGAACTGTTTGGTAGAAACACAACTCGTTGTATTTGGAGGAGAGAGAATGCTAAGTTGCATCCAAAGAACACCATACCTACTGTGAAGCATGGGGGTGGCAACATCATGCTTTGGGGCTGTTTCTCTGCAAAGGGACCAGGATGACTGACCCGTGTACAGGAAAGAATAAATGGGGCCATGTATCGTGAGATTTTGAGTGCAAACCTCCTTCCATCAGCAAGGGCATTGAAGATGAAATGTGGCTGGGTCTTTCAGTATGACAATGATCCCAAACACACCACCCGGGCAACGAAGAAGCATTTCAAGGTCCTGGAGTGGCCTAGCCAGTCTCCAGATCTCAACCCCATAGAAAACCTTTGGAGGGAGTTGAAAGTCCATGTTGCCCAGTGACAGCCCCAAAACATCACTGCTCTAGAGGAGATCTGCATGGAGAAATGGGCCAACATACCAGCAACAGTGTGTGCCAACTTTGTGAAGACTTACAGAAAACGTTTGACCTCTGTCATTGCCAACAAAGGATATATAACAAAGTATTGAGATGAACTTTTGATATTGACCAAATACTTATTTTCCACCATAATTTGCAAATAAATTCTTTCCCAATCAGACAATGTGATTGTCTGGATTTGTTTTCTCAGTTTGTCTCTCATAGTTGAGGTCTACCTATGATGACAATTACAGGCCTCTCTCATCTTTTTAAGTGGGAGAACTTGCACAATTGATGGCTGACTAAATACTTTTTTGCTCCACTGTAGATACCTAATACTCCCCTCACATCAAGAATGTGCATGCTTGATGCACTGATGATAACTTTGTTATCCATGTGATATATCCACATTGAATCTAGAACAATAGAGGTTTTTTCCATTTCTTTTTTTCAAAGGCAACAAATAGCTCTGGAAGATTATATCATATATATGTGTCAGAATCCAGGGCCATTCTTAATGTGATCCTTAACTACATTTCATCTGTTAGATTGCCCTTATAACTTTTGCGGAGCTTTGCTTCCATGGGAAACCATCCTTATGATGGCACATTTGACAGAAACAGTTAATTCAGAGAAAAGGCTTATGAAAAACTAGCTTCTTATGAAGAGATGTTTCATTAATTCAGTACAGCAAACCACTCTAGGCTCCCTGTATAATCATTAGAATTATCCCTTGTATTTTGTTTTGGTTGGCAACCGCAAGGGATGTCAAGTAAAGGAAATATTGTTAGATTAACAATAAAAAGTATGACTTTTTGGAGAAGAGCTTGAGCCTATTACTCTTTCTAAACAGACAAATAAACACGTACAAACATGAATGTGTTACATTTTTCACTCCCTGACTTATCCCCTAATTGGAGTGCAGTCCTCTTCAGACATAAAGCCCATGCTTATTGCAATGTTTAACCACCCGTCCACTATGTAGAAAGTTTGATAATATTGTTCTAATTAAACACCATTTATTGACGTTCACCTTCATTAAGCCAAATTAGTTTCCTTGGAAACATGCCAATAAATCAGCAGTTCCAATTAAGCATATTATGCTCAAGCTGAGTATTCTGTCTTTCCGGAGCCAATGACATGAATGCTTAGGGTTTCCAGTGAAGCTGGTGATAAAAAAAGAGGATTGTGGTATGTATCTAGCTGTCATTGTGGGGAGGGTCGCAGGCTTTAAGTGCACACTGATCCACTGCATTTCCAAACGTTTTCCAAACGTTTTGTATGAAGTAGCTAAGTGCTAGCCTTTTCGATTTTTTTTAAAGGGGGTTAATGATAGCAAAGCCTTAACCTCTGATTAATCAGACTTGACTTGAACACATCAATGAGTTCACTCAATCTACTCTAAGGAAACATTTGGCACATTGACTTGGCTGGTTCCCGGAATTGGCTCATGTTGCAAGGGACTTTCTGGCAAATGCGGAGACACAGATGTAACTCACTTGGGGGTTTGCATGGGTCCTTTTGAGTTTTATTGACACTGTATCTCACAGACAGCCTATATCTTCCAATTTTTGTCAGCTCCAAGCGAGCAAAGACACTGCAGGCATATGAGTGGAGTTTGTGTCGCAAAAGTGGGCAGGGATGCCATTCTCCAGGTTTTTCTTATCGTTCTGGATTTGAGGGAAAGAAACATAAGAGCTGTTTCAAAGTTTTAAGCCCTTTTGATAGTATGAAAGTACATCATTGTCACACATGTTCTATTTGGTCTTCTCTTTTCTTAATGGAAGGCAGAGAGCTGATCAATTACCCCTGATATAACCCCTGAATCCAATTCTCCCTGAGGTTTCTAAGTTGATATGATGTTTATTTGGAAATCTCTCAAAAGCCAAATGGATAGCACCAGTAAGGCTTGCAGTGACACCTATATAGACTGTGGAAGGTGTCTTGAAGAAATGCTGGCGCAAACCCAGCTGAAAAGGTCATGAAAAAAGTGGAGCAATGCTGAGCTTCAGATCATATAACCTTAGGCTTGGAAAGGACCTTAGGGATCATCCAGTCCAACTCAAAGCCTGGTGTGTGTAAAAACCCAGATCAGAAATCACCAGACCATCCCAGACAAATGGTTGTCCAATCGTTTCTTGAAAACCTCCAGGGAAGGAGCAGCCATGGCTTCAGAGGGTAGGCTATTCCACTGCTTAATCATTCTCATGGTCATCCAAACATGTTTTTCAAAAGGCAATTACACTTTCTTGATTTTTCTTGTTTCTCATCCAAGAAGTTTCTTCAGAATAATTTTTAAAAAAGGCAGAATCAAAACAAAAACAAAAAGTTTACTTCTTGCTAGTTGATTCAGCGCAAACTTTTGTTATTTGTACCATATGCCATTCCTGCCTCTAAAATTCTACAGTGGTTGGCGAGATTGGCAGAATTAACTGTGGTTTCTAAATCAGTATCCCATTTTTACTCAAAATTGAAGGAAGTTGATGTACTTTGCATGAATTAATTATATGGCCTCTCAAGCTTGAAATTTCTGTCTAGTGGAAGTATTCCTTTAAATAAGGAAATTATTTTTCTTTGATCTTAAACAATTTAGCAAAAATATTTTATGCATATGTGATAGACAATTTAGAGTACATTTAATAATTGCTGTTGCAGATGCAATTCAGGAATTGGAACTTTAATTCATACTATTGATAAGTTTAGGAATAAAATGAACAGGATTGTTAATATAATTGAATACTGAAATGTACAGTATATGTATGTATGTGTTTGTATGTATATATCAACCAAGACTTCATCTCTCTGTCTCTCATCTGCCTGCCTGCCTATCTATCTATCTATCTATCTATCTATCTATCTATCTATCTATCTATCTATCTATCTATCATTGTCTGACTGTTTGTCTGTCTGTCTATAATACACACAGAGAGAGAGAGAGAGACAATCTTTACAAATTGCAGATTTTTCAAGTATGGAAGCTGGTTTAAAAAAAATTGTACTGTATAACATTAGAAGAAAAGACTCTATACCTGATTTGTAGCAATGGATTTTTATAAGTGTTATCAATGTTTGAATTATATTTTTTCAACAAAGAAGCAAAGAATAAGAGTTTTATGCCATACAATCTACTTTTTGGGAATTCTTTTGTTTCTAATTCTACAAATCATTTCTTTTTTTATTATTATGGTTATTAATTCTGATATTACACAAGATTGCTCATAATATTGGAAGGATGCATATAGAATAGAATAGAATAGAATAGAATAGAATAGAATAGAATAGAATAGAATAGAATAGAATATCTTTATTGTCATTATGTAACTCACAATGAAATTAAGTGCTATCCACAGTGCACACTACACAGAAGTAAAAATCACAAATAAGAACATACATTATATACACACACCCTTCACATTCTATTCACCATTGTGCTGTCCCTAATATTGCCTCTAATATCTTACATTAATTGGTTTCATATACTAAAATGAAGTCTAGGAAATTTTAAAAGAATGTGAAATAACATTAAATTGCTAGTTGGTCCAAAATGTAACTGCACTTCAGTCTATATGTCATTTTTCTTTCTCTGTAGAAAATAATTGTTGCATTTTTAAACCTTCTGTTTTATGTTCCCTAACTAAATCTCATGTAGCAGATATGTGAGAAAGGCCAATGATTAAAATAGCAAAGTGCTCTTGCTAATGCTTCATATCACATCTCACATCTCATATATTACCTGTGGTGATCAGAACAACATGTTCACTGTAACATTGAGTCTTGGTAATCTTTTATATTAATCCTAAATTAAAATGGTAGATCAAGGCCAGCAGTTTTTTTCTATCCACAAGGTAGAAGCGGATCAGAAGGCATTTTGTGAGGTTTTCTTTCTATATAAATTGCACTTTTATTTCTTTGGCAGACTGTTCATTGTACATAAGATTATCTTTGCTACCTTCATTTGAACAGTTAGAATATTTAGAAACAATTTGTGAAATCACAGCATCCAGTTAATAGCCTACTAGTTCCTCAGAGATTGAGCCTTTATCATAAGTCCTCCTTTACTATGTTATTTTCCAAATAAAATGCTGACTAATATTACTCAGAAAAAAGAGGATTTTATTACAATTCCTTTTATGTATTTTTACTTTCAGCAATCGGTTCAGAAAAGTGCAAATCCCTGAAGAAAATGGAACCAATTTTCTTCCTGTGGAGTTTGTAAATTTTCTATTAACATTCATTTACTGAAGTTTTACTTTCAAAGGTACTGTATTTGAATATGATAATGTCCTAAAGTGAAAAGCCTGTGAATATTAAAAAGGTCCCCCAGGGTGTGTTTTAGTAGCATGTTGACAGAGAAGACACTGTTGAGTGTAGATTGGCAGAAAGTAAGACTTTACATTTTAAAAAAAAAATGTCAAGGAACTAACTGAACATAATATCATTTAGCATTTACCTAATGCAAAAAAAATGTTCATAAATTAAACACTTTTGCTTCTTTTGCTTCAGGACAGGAAAAGAAAAATAATTAGATAGCACTTTAACTTGCAAGAACGTTAATTACCCTAAGCTATATGTGAAACATTGTTGTATGCTGATGAGGAATTAATCTTCTCGACTAACCTTGCATGAGTGAGCCTATGTATAATTGTTAAATATGAACAATCGCATGAGGGGAAAGGTACAATTTCCAAATATTGTGTCCCCAAAAAATATCCTTTCTACTAGCATTGCATCTCTGACCCCTCCCGAAAAAGTCCTTACATTCTCATGAAACAATTCATTGGGGGTGGGATGTACCTCCACCACTCTTATGGGGAGTGCCCCTGTTTCCAAGGCAACCATGCTATTATCTGGCTTTCTGTGAAAAATAGTTGCATTAAAGTGAAGCACTGCAAAGGAAGGAAAATCGGCCTAATTCTTTCCACAGTAGAGATTGTTTCCCCTCCTTTAGTTGAAGCAGCACAATTAATTGAATGTATATGTATCCCACCTTTATTATTTTCACAAATAACACAGCAAATGTATTCAACACACTTTCCTCCTCCTATTTTCCTCACAACAACCCTGTGAGGTGGATTGGGCTAAGAGAGAGTGACTGGCCCAAAGCCAGTCAACTGGCTTTCATGGATAAGGCAGAACTTGAACTCACAGTCTCTTGCTTTCTAGCCTAGCACCTTCACCACTAGATCAAAGTTGCCACCTACGAAAATGCTGAATTAGTTCAGGCATTATGTGATCCTTAGGACACACCTTCTGCTGTAAAATAAGAGAAGGACCCATGAAACAAAGCAAAGGACCATAGTTTCAAGCAAAGCCTCACAAAGGAACATCAGAACCAGGGACAATTTGCATCATGTTGCAGGCTAAGCGACCTGTCAAATTGTGGAAGGTGTGCCTCTACTTTTAGCTGAGTGATTTGTTGGAAACATTTTGTCCTCTGTTCCTCCCAAAGCAGCCAAATCTTCTTTGCTGTATTTGAATATGGAAGTGCTCTTGGGAGGCAGCCTTTAATGGATTACCTCTATTTTATGTGTGCTTGGAGGACACATAGCCACATGAATAAAGATTCATCTGCAATGAATGCCAATCAGGAAGCCCACTTTCCAGGCTCCTGGAATTGTGCTAGAAATATAATGAATGAAGAAAATAGTTTATCATGCAAACACCTAAGGATATTTTCACTCCTGGGTTCAAATCAATTTCAGTTTACCCTGGAACGAAGAATCAATATTTTTTATAATATACTTTCCCTTTGTTAACTTCCAGAAAATTTCTACCTCACAAATGAGACAAGATTATGCCTAAAGTTGTGTCCTTAAAATTTCCAAGGAAAATTAATAAAAAAAATTTCAGTGTGGTTTTAAACATTTCCAATTCACGCCATTTTCTTTGCCTGGATCATTAAACAGTAAGGTGAGCTAGATTCACCAGAAATCATTCACTCACAGATTTGGAAAGTTGAGGGATCTTCTGCTCTTTATCTTCTACTCCAGTTTTTTAGTATCCTCAGTTTTCTGTTGTGATGTCTTTCTTCTCAAAAAACATAATGAATGGTTTTTCATAATGCAGGTTGGCTTAAGGCTATTAGGGCTATGTCGTATGCCAAGGGTAGGCAACCTTGGCTCTTTTATGACTCATGGACTTCAACTCCCAGAATTCCTGAGCCTGCTGGCTCAGGAATTCTGGGAGTTGAAGTCCATGAGTCATAAAAGAGCCAAGGTTGCCTACCCCTGGCCTAGGCCATGCTCCTAATATAGGAGTCATTCTGGATTCCATAGGTTTGAGAGTGTGGAGTTGGGAATATTAACTGGTGAAGATCCCTTAAATTTCTTCAAAATTTTAAAAAATGCAATAAATAAATGAATGGTTCTATTTTGACTGCGTCCATTCTCAGGAGCTCTAAGGATTAAAAGGGATACTGACTTTTTTTCACTAGTGTATTTATCCATGTTCTTGTAATCATGGTTTGTGAAATATGTTTGCATTGGTTAGTTTATACAAAATTCTAAACCATCCATGGTTTATAAACCATATTGGTAGAATTCCTACAATTACAGTTTATTATGACATACAGTATATATCTATAAAACATTTCCAAACCTTTCCACCACTCTCTCTCCAAAGTTTATTAATTTATTTGCATATTGAAACAATTTATAAGGTTATCATCTCTGGGCAGAATACAAAATTAAAATCACAACAATAGTTTAATTCAATGGCCTAACATAATTCAACTCATAAAGAATAACAGAACTACATTAACCAGCTGAGCTCAGGTAACTAAATGGTTCAAAGCCTTTGGGAAATAGCCAGGACTTATGAAAGGTTAACAGGGCTAGGGCTATCTTAATTTCTGGAAAGATCCTGTTCAATAGGACGGGTACTCTGAGATTCAACAAGACAACATTGTTTCACAGAAGGGACAAAAGCATGCCTTCCCTGCTGGATCTCATAGAGCAAACAGAGACAAAGGACAAGTTGTCTCTAGAGCAGTGATGGCAGACATGATATGACACATGTATTAAAGGTGACACACAATAACATTTTGGGTGACACACCAGTGTTCACAAACACCCAGCAACTATTCTTGAAAACACCCCCCATTTTTACATGATTTTTAGAGGCTGTGGAGGCTGGGCTCTTACATGGCCTCTTGTGTAAGAGGGCCAGGCTTGTTCAACCTCTGGAGCTTTCAAAAATCATGCAAGAATGGGGAGGGGGTGTTTTTGTATGGTTTTCAGAGGTTACGGAGACTGTGGAAGAGCAATTTCCAAAGCTGCTTCAAGAATGAAGCTCTTGTGTGACCCAGACCAGCTGCAGGTAGCTTACAGAGATTTGTCAACAGAAAGAGAATACCTGTACTTCAGGCCCAGCCTTAATAATACTGCCAGGTGGGGAGCATTGGGGATAGGAGGGAGAAATAAAAAAAATTGTTTCTCTTTTTTTGGGGGTTGGGGTATGACACACCAGCAATCAAGTTAGGCGTTTTCAAATTTTTGACAGACTGAACCCAAAAGACTTGCCATCACTTCTCTAGAGTATTGGAAGACTCTCTTAAACATTTTGGAAGGAGTCAGAACTTTGCTGTGCAAAGGGGAATCGCTTGGAGTCAGACCAATGTTTTCATGTAGGTGATTCACTCTGTAAACGTTTGGCAGACTGACATAATTCATTTGCAAGCAACTGGAATATGCCCAAATCATCTAGATCTTAAAAAGTTAATTTCAAGATGTAGAACGGGCCCCCAAAGTGGAATAGAATCCCATGCAGATGGCAACAACCAGTGTAATATGATCTTACTGGCCAAATGCACCGGTTTGGAAGATATACTGTATTCAGTATATACTTTATTTCAGATTTTAGTAAGGATGATGATGTTGAAAAATAATAGAACATGACAAAACACATGTAAACATTTAGAGACTTTTGGTGTTCTACTATTACTGCAAAGAATAGTCCACTGGGTAATTAGATTCAGTCAGCCCTCCCCTCCCCACCATGCATTGCCTGATAAATATATTACTCTACTTGGATAATCCTCAGCAAATATAGTAAGGAAACAATTTTCAGAAATGGATTAAAACGCAGAAAGCTAAGAAAGAGCCAACTTTATTTGAGGTTCTATCTACAAAGGATTGCATTGATAGTCACTGTGGTGCAATGCATCAAAGGGTGGTCTTGGTCTGGGGCATGGTTGTCCAACCTTTTTGGTTTATCTGGGCTGCACTGAGTGAAGAGGAATTGTCTTGGGCCACCTATAAAATATATAATAGAGTTAATGTATATACAACCAGATAATGTTAAAAGTTAATGAACTTGTGGGGCTATATTATTAGCTGTCCAGGACTGCATGCAATGCACAGGCTGTGGGTTGGACACTCATGGTCTAGGGAGTCCCATATCCATTCATGTTATTGGAGCTAATAACTCTCTCTCTCTCTCTCTCTCTCTCTCTCTCTCTCTCTCTCTCTCTCTCTCTCTCTCTCTCTCTCTCTCTTTCTCTCTCTCTCATCTATTACACAAAGTTGTGGTAAGAATAAAATGTGGGAATAATATTCAACTGTGGATCTAACTTAATCAAGCTACAAATCAGTCATTTTCACTGAAGTTGTTTGAGTAAATATTGACACAAACTTAAGGAGACTACAGGGTGGAGAGAAAGGAAGGCAGTAAGATCAAGAAAGACAGAATATAGCTGAAGTTTCACTCTAGGATTTGCTCCCACTTTCTTCTCACTTCCCTATGAGTAACATCAACTTGTAGTTGACATAATGACAAACAGAATTAACATGGGACCCACCCACCCACCATGTTTGATTCCCTGGAGAGCTGCAGTTGCTACCAACGCTTTTTTCACTGATTCACTGCTGCGAAAAGGAAGTCCTTCACAGCACTTTGGTTGCTATGTGCTATGTGGTGTTGATTCTGTGACCAAGCTGTAGATGAAAAATTGCATTGAAAAAAAAAAAGGTGTTGAGACTCTAGAAAGAGTACAGAGAAGAGCAACAAAGATGATTAGGGGACTGGAGGCTAAAGCATATAAGGAACGGCTGCTGGAATTGGGTATGTCTAGTTTAACGAAGAGAAGGACAAGGGGGGGACATGATGGCAGTATTCCAATATCTCAAGGGCTGCCATAAAGAAGAGGGAATCAAGCTATTTTCCAAAGCACCTGAAGGCAGGACAAGAAGCAATGGGTGGAAACTAATCAAGGAGAGAAGCAACCTAGAACTAAGGAGAAACTTCCTGACAGTTAGAACAATTAATCAGTGGAACAACCTGCCTCCAGAAGTGGTGAATGCCCCAACACTGGAAGTTTTTAAGAGACTGGACAGCCATTTGTCCGAAATGGTATAGGGTTACCTGCCTGAGCAGGGGGTTGGACTTGATGACCTCCAAGGTCCCTTCCAACTTTATTATTAGTATTATTATTGTTTGTTTGGTATCTAAAATCTGTCCTGCCATCCTCATTCTTTACACACATAAAATGGGAATTGATATCAAGTTGGCATCAGCCAGGCACATAACAATAGCCCCGGCCCAAGAAAGTAGTTTGAAAGTTCAGTGTCAGAAGTAATGATGTGGATTGAATGATGAGAATCAACAATAGTTTTAATCAAATGTTACAGTTCAGCTATTTAGGGCTTTGATGCTGCTTTGCTTTGGTGTTTTGCCATAAATGGTCTTGGAAGGTGCTGGCTTCCAGTCTTCTTCTGGAAGAAAAGGTTGCCTTCTCCCTGAAGAGCCATCATTTTGATTCTACGTTATTCAGATACCAGCTTCTGGCTCCATCTATTCTTCTTTTCCCAAATGTGTGGCACGACTTTCATAAGGAAAGCTAAAACGTTTTCAGTGTTTTTCAAAGCATGCTCTTGAGTTGGCTTAGTGTAATCAGCTGAACAGAAGGCATGATCCTACAGTGATCTACACAACATTAAAACATTAAAATACATTAAAACACTAGATAAGAATCAAGTGTGTCTGGTAGGGTGGGGGACACTATGGAGTGCAACGACAAAGCCTTCGGATACCATCGCTGCTATTCTCAAATTCTCAAGGCAGCTTTGTCTTCCTTTATTAAAATGGTTTCCAAAATTCTCCCAGCTAAATTTCCCACAGTTCCACCCCTCTGTGGCCATTCCTGTATATGTTATTTCCTCCACGGCAATTTTAGATGTTTATTTTCTTCTCGTATCACTCAGTTCTGTCCTCTTCTCCCTTGCCATTGTGTTTTCTTATCACACATTAGCTTCATCCTTGAAGAGAACTGAGGGTGGGTGGAGGAAGCTTCAGCTCCTTATAGGAGAACAGTGGGCTGTTAGTAATTCCCCAAAGAATCTAGTCTGGTCACATGTTTGACACTTCCAAAATAGAGTTTTTCGGTCTCTGAACCAGACAACCATTGAAGGGAGGGGGGATGGCTCTATCTCAAATGTAATCTTTCTTAGAGGTAAATCAAGACCATTCGTCCCTCTATAACAGTGTTTCTCAACCTAGACAATTTTAAGGCATGTGGACTTCAACTCCCAGAATTCCACAGCCAGCAATGCTGGCTGTGAAATTCTGGGAGTTGAAGTCCACATGCCTTAAAATTGTCAAGGTTGAGAAACACTGCTCTATAACATTCACAATGATTTCAATAAGACAGATTAGGAGTGGTTGCTATGTCTTCTCCAGAGGCAGGAAGCTAAATCTAAATCTGTTAAACATAGTACATTTTCCAAAATATGGCTTAAAACTGCCCAAACTGGTCTTTATTAAAAATGAAAAAAAAAATTCAAGTAAACTCTTCCCCATCAGCAACCATTTTAAACAGCCAGCATAGTCTAACGCAGAACATATTTTTCATTGAGTGTCACTTTGTAGAGAAATAAGACACTCCTAAATCCTAGCTATCTATTCTATGCGCTTCAAGATCTGGCAATACCTCTTGGGCAAATTCAGATGAATTCTTTAGAGATTGCACAACAGACTCGGCAGCTCTCATTTGCCACTATTCTGGGATGCATTCTGATGCATATTTAACTCATATGAATTGTGCTCTGTTGGGATGTTTGCCCAGCTTGGCAAGCTCTTGCTCCAAATTGAAATTGTGAGGGAACATTTTGCTCTTGTAGCTGCTGAGCAATGAGGCAATCCTTACAAACTGACCAGAGGGAGAAAATGGCTAGTAATCTTTGAACATGAAAATATGGCTCTTTCACTGGAGCTGTAGGTGGGTTTATGACTTGTCATTAGCTCTGCAAGCATTTTTTGGACTTGGGATCCAGGTTTCCCAAAGAACAAATATCTCCATTTTAAACCTTCTTAAAAATGGAATTTATTAACTAAAGTTCTGTTGCAGGAACAGCTTTTCATAAAAGAGAGGCAGTAGAGGTTCAAGATAGACTTTCTGTGGGACAGTGTCCAAGGGTTGAATACCCCCTTCCTCCCATATAATTAAGTTGGTTCCTTCACTGTTGGTTTTCAGGACCTGCTTAAAATGATTCAGTTCTTCCAAGCAGGAACCTCCACAGGCAAGATGGCATTTATGGCATGAAAATCAAAACCTCACCTTGCTGTAAGTCCATGCAGTGTCAACAGATGTACAAAAGGGGGTAGGGGTTGGATTGCGATGCTCTTTGCTGTTTTGAGATCTCCCCTCAAAGATGCTGTTGTCTCCAAGTGCCTTCAGCAATTAATAAATCTCTTACTGATGTTTGGTACTGGCACTTTGGGGGATTCTCTGTTTTATTGTAACCTATGTACTGTATCCATTATTTTGTAGTGATTTGATGGTACATTGTCTTGAGGCTTTGTTGAATGCATAAGAAATATGGAACGCAGGAAAGAAGAGGAAGAGGGGGAGGAGCAGGAGAAGGAGGAGGAAATGTTGAAAATTATATATAACACTCGAAAGTCTAGCAGGATAGGCCACCTTTTGGACACGCTGAGGAAAGTTGTATTAGTTTGTTTTCACTTTTCTATTTGAGATGCATGTGCATGTTTACACAAATACATGCACAGGCTGCCAAGGAGCAGTATATGTCGCAGTTGCATTGTGACTTCCTGGAAAGGCTCTCTTAAGGACTGAAAGGGATATTAACTGAAGTGGACGCTTCCTTTCCACCAGTGAACGATTCTAGCCAGCACCTGCAGTGATATCAGCTTTACAGCTCACCTGCCACAAGGCCTCCGTCAGATCAAATTGGAGCATGGAGAATAAACCTGCAATCAATGAGCGCTTCTCCCTGGAGCCATGGCTGCAGCCACCACACAATGAAGAGTCCTTGGGAAGGCCGAAGTGAAGCAGCTGGCCAGCAGCTTTTTGGAGAGCCACCCTCACAGCTGGAGAGAAAATAGCCCTGGCAGCATTGGTGCTCCATTATGGAAGCTGAAAAGTCCTTTCAGGCCGGAAGGGAAACTTCAGCAGCTGTCAAGGAGCTGAAACGTTGAAAGAGTGCACACACACACTCCCCGTACCCGGCCTTACAATGGGTAGAATGCAGAGGCCATGCCACAGGAAATTAAAGCTCCTTTGGGAAATGAGGGTATTGTGGGCTGATGAGTTCACTTTGAGAAATCAATAAGTCTTTCAGTAAGTGGTGATATCAAGCCCTTTTCTGTGCTCTGGGAGAAGAGAGTCAGCAAGCTCTCTAGCTGGCTCTCTTTTATTCACTTCAGAAAAGCCTCGAAGAATAGCAGGGATCTTAAAAGGTGGTTGACCTGTGCTCAGCAGGTTGTAGTGTAGAACTATTGACCAGAAGTATTCCTACCTCAGGGAGATGAAGAGCAGGGCTGTGTAGCACAACTTGTTTCTGCTTCTCCCCCTTTGCAAGGGATTCATTTATTGAAGAGTTTCTCATATGAATCAGCAGAGACTGAGGGATGTTGCCATCAAATACATCATGAAGAAAGCAATGGGGTGGGGGAAGGAGGGAATGTGGAATCTATAAAATGTACTGTTTTGATGTGGCTGAAAAATCAGCATTTCTAGTGAGGAGAAAATTTGGTTTCTAGGTAAATAACTTACAATATTCTTTCATGGCAACATATTGCACTTTTTTAACTGATGAAGTACAATCATGCCTGTATCAACTCCTAGCATATGTTGCAACATGGAGAAAAATTGAAGGAGTTATAAACCACTTTAGTAAAAGGAAAAATAATTATTTGGATAACTAGCAAGAATAGTGATTTAAATGACTGATCTGGAGGGGAGAGAGCCAAGTTCCAATTCATCGTTCACCCTTTAATTTCAGTGGGCACTCTAAGGATAATCACTATCTTTTTAGGCTGTTAACACAAATTAAAAAGATGAAAGACAATGGGGGATGAACCTATCTCTGCTGTTCTGAACACCTTGATAAAAGGGGAGAGAGAAAGGGATGGAAAATTCTGTTTACTGAGGTCATTATTCATTAGGGCTGTACACAGTATCAGTAGAAGGTAAAAGGAAGGCAGGAGGAAGAGCCTGTACCAAGCAATGGTCAGATGAAAGAGGCCTGAGTACAGAGCAGGAATGTGACATGAGTAAAGTTCTCAGACAAGGCCCTCTCTAGTTCAAGAAGATAAA